ATACAGAAATTAAAACAAAAAGATAAAGAAATGAGAGGAAAAAATAAGTAATGCCAGGAAAACAAAGAACAATAATCAAAATATAACTAATATTTTTCAATGTTAAACAAAAAAAGTTAAAAAATAAAGTTAAACATGCTTAAGTTAAAGTTCATAGCTTCACTACATTAAAATTATATAAAATAATATACAAAATAAATAGATAAATACACTGTCTAAAACAAGTCTGCTTTTAATGATTAATACTAACATATTGCACACTTAAATATGATTTGAAGAAGCTGCGATGTGAAAAAGAGGGGGATTTATAAGGTATAGTTGATTAAACATTTTAGTATAGGAAACATTTGTATCCTTGCTCTTGACTCCTCAGGAAGCCTCCTCGTTCCTCGCCCTCCTCCCGGTGGAATTAAAGAATTTAGATGTCCTACATGAGAGCGGAGCTCAATCGGTTTCAGGGTCGTAGGACATACGAGCGAGAAGTGAGGAAACGAGGAAGCATATTGAGACGCACCTTCTGAATCCTGACCCTATTTTAATTCAAAGTAAATGGAGTCGAGGAGTCGATTCCACCAACTCCAAAATTAGGAGTCGGGAGTCGGAGTCGGAGTCGACTCCAAAAAAACCGGAACCGAACACCCCTACAACATACGCAATAGTCGTCAGAGGGATGAGGACGTTAGGCAGCCTTTAGATCCTACCCATCATGCACTGCAGATTTTTGCAAATCCCTCAAACGGAAAACCATTAAATACAAAAGGAACAGCTTAGTTTGACTTCAAAACATTACTATGTATTATATTTTGAGTTTGTTGTAGAGATTTTACAGGTTTTTTTTTTTTTTTTAAATAAAAAAATTACACCATAAACCCACTATAATAAGAATGCATAACAAAAATGAGAGATATATGAAATCGCAAGTCAGACTTGAAATATGCATAATATATTCCAGCTGTCAAGAGTTTGGGAGAAAATTGCAATAATATAATTTTGTGTGTATTTAGTATATGGGAGCGCCCTCTACGATCCAGTGGAGGGCCCCGGGCTGGCCCAAAAATGTGCGTCGGCCCACCGGGCATTTGCCCGGTACGCCAGATGGCCAGTCCAGCCCTGGCCATAATTACCTTCTGGGGCTTCTCTGTTTCTCTTTCGTTCTGAATCTCCATGCAGGTGTACGTCTCACTCAGTACTGCTTAAATAGGCCTGACCTTCATTAGGCAATTAAGCTGACATCTCATTTTTATATTATTATTTTGGTAAATGCAATAAGACTTTTTTGTGTAACTGTTCATATGAATTAATGATTTTATTAATTTCTGATTTTCTGTTTTCAGTCATTGCATTTCATGTTTGACCATCTAATATGCTTACGATTTTATTTAAATTATTTTGGGGGTAATTCAAATACTGAAACATGATTTTTATAGGCTTAATAATTTTTATTACATGACATGATTAGTGAGAGCGCGGAAATTCAACTGACGGAACGATCTTTAGGGAAAATGTTCCCACACGTCGGTGATTTTTTGAGACACCGCTTAAATAAGCGAGACAGTTAACCTGGTCACGAGCAGACTTGTTCGGAGGTACAAGTTACCATGGCAACTCAGCGGGGATTCATTTAAGACACGTTGATGGAACGGAACTCTCACTTAAATAAGACAGACTTATCGAAATAAGCCAGACTTTCCCTTAATCCTGCTTCATGGAATACCCCCCTGGGAGTTTTACTTACTTAAAAACGTTCTGAGGGCAGAACGAAAGTTGATTGGTTCAGAGAAATAACCAATCAAATCGCAGAGGAGGCGGGTCTAAAGAAACAGAGGGGGCGGGACCAAGAAGCTGATTAGGCGGGAGTTTCAAAAAAATGTTTCAGCGGCAGTATTGGTGAAGCCATCCGGCGCACAAAAGAAGAATTTTGGAAGATTTTTCACTGCACTTATTCCAAAGGTAAGATTGCTTAACATTTATTTGGTTAACAGGATTTACTTTGATAAACTAGTCTGAGGCAATGAGCATGTTATTATTCTTTTGCTAAGAGCTGGTTAGCATTAGCTTAAAAAGCTAACGATGAAAATGCTGATAAAATGATGATTGCATGTGATGGATTACTTATATTTGCGTATTTTATAACCACTTATGCTGGCGCACGTTACTTTTGAAACTCAGAGTAGGCTGTCTAAAAGGAGATTTTTAAGGTCAGGTTTGGTATTTTAACTGGCTATTTTTCTACATTAATATGATCTCTTATTAGTGGTGTAGGGTTCTGAATGTCCCAGGGAAGGAAAACTGTGTTGCAAGCGGTAGTTAGTATTAGTAATGTAGGGAAATGCTGCTGCACTTCGGGCAGGAAAGCTGCACTGTCAGTATTATTATTGCTATTGCTTCCCATTAGAAATGCAGTAAT